TTCAACTAACCACCACCGACAGCTCAATACCAACTCAACTAACTATTGCCAACTCACTATACACGTGTCTATTAACAAACTAATCCCTCTTTTGAATACATGCAATCACTAAACTAATGGTTACAACAATGCATGTAATTCAATATACAAAATCAATTAAACGGGTGGAATGCTTTTTGTCCCTAACAGTAACAGATCTCCTCGCTGTAACAGAGAACTACCAAGAATCACAACCTCCTCATCTCTTTCTTCCTCGCCGAGTACCGTTGCTTCTCTTTCCAAGTCTAGAACAAGTTCAGGGTCAACACTTGAATTCCAATCTACATTGTCAATGTAAATGTCAGCATCAGGCAAGGATATGTTGCACAGGACAATGTAAATGTCAAAATCAGGCAAGGATAAAGGAGAATGCAACCTTAAGTCAGTATATTAATTTAATTTAAGAACCATGAAACCGATGGTGAGCCAAGGATTTAGGAGAATGGTAAAGCTTTGTAACGTAGAGGAATGAATATAATAAATTCTGATTTGGTGTATGTGTTTGTTTAGGTACGCAAGTTCTTAAATAATTGGACTGTTCGATGATATTTGGAATGCTTGATTTAAAAGCTAAAGTGTCAAGGTATGTGTTTGGTGGTGAGACCTACTGTGACTATTAGCTAGTGTATGAAATTTTGAACTGATGCTCACATGTGCCTTATGATTCGTATTCTATTATATGTTATATGAAATCTGCCTTGGACTTGTCATGATGGAAAATTCTGCCTATGGAAGTATTTGTTATTCGGCAACTTGGTATTAAATATACAAGAGATATATACTATTATGATTATGATCTAGTCATGCATATGCACATCATGTTACACCTGTGCCTGTTTGTGTGTGTATCAAGCATGTCATAGCATACAACATTATGCACTCATCTTGGAGACTGAAGTATATAATAAAAATAAGCATATGTTTGAGCACGCATCATATAGGCATCCCTCCGGTATTAGGGTATGGGACACTTGGCTTCAGTCCGCTTAGGTCATAGTTGGAGCCCTTTTGAGGAGCCACCCAGGATTCTTCACTATGTTTGTTAGTACGTGCACGACGGTGCTATGAACGTACATCTTTGGCGTTATATACGCATCTTGATTAGTATTTTGGCGTTATATACGCAATATGATTAGTACTTTGGCGTTATATACGCACTATGAGTATATGGTAGCATCTGTCTGGAAGAATTAAATGTTGATGCGACTGTTTTAGAATTTTGTGCCTAGTCTAATATTGTTGTTGTACTGGTTTTATTGCCACACTACTGGGATTTTTGCGATTAAAAAACATGATTTGCAAAGGACAGCAAAGAAACAATATGGAAAATTGGAAGAAAAGAAAAAGCCTCAGTAAAATGAATGGACACAAGTCACATTCATAGGAGAATTTACATGAGAAACCAATATGAATGAATACATAACATGGCACGGATTTCTTAGTATTTACTGTAACAAATAATTGGATAACAGTATCAAGATCACTTACCGATTACTGTAACAAATAATTCTTCTTAAGATGAAGAGGAAAAGAACAGTACGAAACACAATTTTATTATTCTAATATGTTTTTCCTTTACAATCAATCATCTATATACTGATTCAAAAACTCAACTAATGTTTTTACTCTATCAAGGCCCATACAATTATTGGACCACTACTTCTAATGCTACACATGAAAGTCTACGATTCAAATTGGGGCACTTGTTAGCCTTTTGGATCTACCCTTTACCGTATCACCTTGCAGTATAAGGCCTTTGATCCTTAGCCTTTATCTTCATTTACCCATGCAGCAAGAGTGGGCACATAAGAAACGGTCATAAGCAAAATTTCTCTTTTTGCCAACTCATTTTACACGTGTCTATTAACAAACTAATCCCTCCTCTGAATACATGCAATCACTAATGGTTACAACAATGTATGTAATTCAAGATACAAAATCAATTAAACGGGTGGAGTGCTTTTTGTCCCTAACAGATCTCCTCACTGTAACAGAGAACTACCAAGAATCACAACCTCCTCATAACTTTCTTCCTCGCTGAGTACCGTTGCTTCTCTTTCCAAGTCGAGAACAAGTTCAGGGTCAACACTCAAATTCCAATCTACATCGTCAATGTAAATGTGAGGATCAAGCAAAGATATGTTGCAGGGAAGGCCGTTGATCTTTTAGTCCAAAACCTCCTTTTTGCATTGTCAAATGCCTCTTTGACAGCAGAGTCATCCCAGTTTACCACATTGTCATGTGGATACATGTACCTCTTGCAATCTATTAGCTTTGGCAATGGAACTGAATCAACTGAAGCACGAGACTTCTCTTCCCATGAAGGCACAATTGAATGACTACTATTTGTGAACCAAAAAAGAATAATTCAATCAGCTGATAATTCAATCAGTTGAATGACCCCTTACAAGTGACCTTGTTGATTTCTCCAATTAGCCATGCGCGATGAAAAAGGGAAAGACCCAGATGAAGAAATTTGAAAACTTTGCCAAGCAGTTCAGAGCAACAAAAGAACAAATTTGTTTCCATCTATCTGTAGAAAATTTTATAAAAAAAAAAAATGAAGGTGATAAGGATGAAATCTATCATATTCGTTTGTGTATTTATAGCACGTGGTTTCTTTCTCATTATATTCAACTAGGTTATCAATTTTTTGATTCGGTCAATACAATTTGGATGGGTTGATGAACACCACTATTATTATGTAAGTTATTATTTATCTTTATTTACTTTTTTAAGAATTTTATAACTCCTTCAATTCAAAAATAAAAATTAATTGTTTCTATTTGTTTTTCTTTTAAAATCCTTCATCCAACCTTTTTTTTTTCTCTTTCAATAATTAAGGAGATTGGTAAACTATAACTTATAAGAGAATTTGGAAAAAAAAAATCAATTTTTTTTCCATCAGTTTGCCTTTCTATGTTGGAGCGGACGTTGCACGTATTTAGAAATGAGATAAATTTTTAATATTTTCTAGTAAGCATTTTTTTCTAAGTATATTTATTCTACCCATTTATTTTATTTTTAATAAGTTTTTCTAAATTTAATGAAGAAAAATAAGTACTGCAAGGAGTCCTATGAAACTTATAAGGGGTCAGTTTTGTGAATGTGGCTTGAAGATACAAGTTTTGTTATATGGGTAACACGTAATATACAATAAGACTTACAAGAAGACTAGACTCCATTTTGAAGTTTAAGAATTGTCCCTACTGTTGTGAGAGGTTTATGTATATACACATAAACTCTGCAATGTCATTGGTGATGAGCAGCGGCGGCGACAGCAGATTGTATAGTCAGAGAGAGAAGAGAAGAGAGAAGGGGAAAGAGAGAGGGTATATAAAGATCAAATCAGGACCGTCGAATCAAAAAACTAATCTAATGGTGAAATTATTAGTAGTAACTCAACTTGGTTGTTACAATATCTTATCCCTCAAATCATTCAGGTCATAAAACTTAAAAGACAAACACGAAAAGAGGAAAAAATACCAGCAAATAGAAATAAGATTGTACCAGCAAATAAAAATAGGAATTTATGGATATTATGTCACATGACAAAGCTCTCATCATGTCACTCTTACAATGCAAGTGGATCCCACCAGTTTTTATAAAAATAAAAATAAAAAAGTGATGTACACGTATCGATCTATGTGCGGGAAGCAACAGTGCATTTTATGTAACATTACCAAATGATTTCCCATAGAAATAAGATTGTACCAGCAAATAGAAACCGACATTAGTGAATTAGAGAAAGAGGTTATTTCATTTGGATTGAATCTACAAAAGAGGTTATTTAATTTGCTGAGTTCGAAGATTTTTATTATAGACTAGTGCTTTTAATTTAGGCAGAAAGGAGGTAAAATATGTAAGTTAGTTTAAATTTTAATGGTATTAAAGGTAAACTTCGATGGAAAAAGGACAATATTAATCTTATGTAATAGCCATGCATAGATACTTGCGTTGTTCTAATTTTTTTTTTCTTCTCTCTCCTGGTAGGCCCCATTTCAAGTTGGGTGTACTGTAGCTATTAAAATGCTTGCATTGCTGACCCAAGATTTACATGTCGAAAAAAGAATACTGTTGGGAGCATTCTGCATTGCTTGGAATTTTTTTCAGCTGCTTATAATAATATAATATCATCATATTAGATGGTATTATAATTTTTTTGAAATTTTTCATTTTTCAGCTACTTATAATAATATCATATCATCATATTAGATGGTATTATAATTTTTTTAAAAATTTTCAATATATATATATATATATATATAAAATATAATTCAAGTGATTCAACCAATAATCTTCTGATTGAACCAGTGATCCGATAGGTAAGCTTTACAACATTGGATGAAATAAAAAGCAATCACTCAATGAGTATAGCTCAAGATATAGGCTAAATATGTGGGGAGAAAACCTAAGTTCGATTTATGTCAAATATATTTTTATGGAGGGGCAAAGAGCTTTAACTGATAAGCTTCGACTCGAGATTATCTGCTCAAATAGTACGTACTTGTGAGGATAATCGGGGAGTCAACTCACCTCAAAGAAATAATTAGAGTCGGTATAAAAAATAAATAAACAAATAAAACTGGATGTATTGCTATGTACAACAAAAAATAGAGATAGCAAAGGTTAATAATTGGAATATTTGTATTTTTTTTTTCGAATAGATGAAAAAGGCAACGTGACTTTGTCAATAGAAAGCAAATTTCAAACCAAAATCACATCAAACTCTTTCCAAATGTAATCAAATAAGTTCAAAGGAAGATTTTTTTTTAAAGGGGACTGGATAAAGATAGAACGGTGTTGTCTGGGAATCAAACTAATTCCTATCTGTTGGTAGCAATGTGGTATATACTATTGACATCAGACCCCAGATGCTCAATCAAACCAACCTAAATTGAGAGATAAAAATCAAAGTTAAGCCAATGCCCACCATTTTCATTGTATAATCATTTCTCCTTTCAACCGGGCAAAAAAATCTTCACCTGTATAAAATCGTCTCTCTCAATGTGTATAAAAGAATACAATAGGCCACTATTTTCCATTACAATCGCAGCCAATCTGTGCCCAAAAATCTCTAAAAATAGAAGGGGAAGAAAGAAATAAAAAGACAGATAAGAGATAAAAAAAGAAAAGAAAAAAGAATCCTGAACATGCTAGCAAGATCTGCTCTATATGATTCCTACACTACGCCTACAATCTAAGCCTGAAATTTACATAAGCGCGCTTGGGTAATGATCGGGAAAAACCCCATGAATCCAAAAACTGGAATGCCCATCATGTCAGCCAGAAGTGCTTCTATCATTGTCTTGTTTAATTTTCCCCCACAATTCAAGTATCATATCTATCATCAAAATAATTTCTGGCGGTGGCAAAGGAGTCAGTTAAAAACTAAGGATGTAAAGAGGTCAGAGTGATCAAGGCTGGGAGGAGATAATGGTGGGATTGCAGATGGGAGTGAGCCATCTATAACTTCCAAGACTCTTCTTGCAGTGGCTTGGGATACTCCACCAGCTTCAATTTTTCTAGAAGATACCATCATTCCTGCTCTGGCATTCCTAGTTGAATTGCTACTCTCCACAGATTTTAAAAAATTGTCTTTTGATAATGTTGTTTGAGCAGCTTTTGCAATCACAGAGCTAAAAACACCAGATTCCCTCAAACTTTGAATAATAACCTGCAAAGATAAATTTTTCGTGGAGAAGTTTAGACTTTAGACCGTTTTCTCTTAAGTATGCAGATGACAACTCCATAAATTGCTCCGAGAGAAACCAGAAAGCAAATATCAGGCAATTGAACTTACCATGGGAGCATAAATGCGAGTCAAGATGCCTTTCCTCATAAGTTTCATGTTTAGTGCTTTGTCAGTCCACACAATGCGTTCACGATACCTAAATGAAAAGAAAAAGCCCATGTAAGAGGGAAAATAAATTAGGATTTGAAGCCAAATAAAATATGCATGCTCGCCATGCTGTATACTAAAAAGACAAGGAGTGCTACTTTTATGTTTCTAAAAAAAATTTGAGATAGAACAAGTATGCAAAATTAAGAGCCACATAAATGACAAATCATATAAAATTTATCTTGCTCCTCATTTTGTTAATGGGAAATGTGAATGTCATGTTATATGACACATCTTGTGTCATGCCATAGATACAAAAAAGTGGGATCCACACCTTTATGGTTTTTTTTTTCAAAGGGATCTACACCTTTTTGTGTCTATGGCATGATACAAGATATGTCATGTAACATGACACCCACATTTTCCTTTGTTAATATCACGTTATATGGACATATTGTGCAATTATCATAATTTTATAAAACAAATAATTTTTCCAACATAAAATACTGTCTCCATCAAAGTGTGTGTGTGCGTGTGTGTGTAACATGAGCTCATCACGAGAATCTGCCAATGAATCATCCAGGAATAACATGAGCTCCACATAGATTTACAATTCATTCGACTATGCAGCCCATGATTAATATTACACCTATAAAAGTATGTAAACAATTTTATACAGTAGTCTTTGCTAGCTGTATTGTGCCAACAAAACTGTCCGTCACTGACTTATATTCAATAAAAAGTTCAACAGCTTATTTTTCAACACCCTCACCCCCAAAAAAATAAAAATAAATAAACAACAACAAAAACAATAATAATAATAAAGATCAATAGTTTTAGTATAAAGTTATTTGTTTTCATATTCCTGAACTTACCATTGACGCATTTCTTCCTCAGTTGCAGTTGAAGCTATTATGAAAGCCTAAACCAGACATAGAACAGAATTGTCATACTAAATATATACATATACATGGATACAACGTAAAAATACCCCCGCCACCCTCTTCAAAATGCACACACGCACAACTTCTCAGCCCAACATGATAGAAAGTAAAGAACAAAAACAAACTCAATATAGAAACATAAACGTTTAGACTAGCCATCAAGAAAATAAAGAGAGGGAAGGGTGTTTGAGAATACAACTAGTAAACAAGAAAACAACTAATTACGATCTTAAGAAAGGGAAGAAGATTCTGAGGGAATGTAATATAACCATGCACAGAAAATAACAAAACAAAACAAGACTTCTGTTCTGATTTAACCAGGAAACCCAAGTGCAAGACCTTAAACAAACATCAAATTGTCAAACCCAATCGATGTAAATAATCTTCGGAATATAAGAATGTAACCACAGATAATATTTTACTCATAACCCTAGATGAAACTAGTAATAATTAGAACTAGAAGCAAAAAGAGCATGTAAAAGATGACTATAACTTACAGCTCTGTCAAAATCCAACATGAAGCATCTTTTAACATCTTCTTTTGTAGGCTTGCAGCCACACCGATCCCGTCTTGAAGTCAAATCAGAAAATTTGGGGTAAGTGTAATGCAGAACAGCAGCTTCTTCCAACTTGATCTCACTGTTAAAAGATTTGGTATATGGATAAGTGTAAAATATGGACAGAAATATTTAACATTATGGCTTTAAACATTTTTTTCAAATGATTCACAAATAAATTAAAACCAGTAAGCAGCTACCAATATGTCAGTAAATGATCAAATTAGAAAAAGTCAACACATAAGAATAATGAAAGCCTGCTCAAGATAGCATAAATTGGTGGCAGATTGGAAAGACCAGTCAATATGAGATTAGCAGTTCACATTAAGCTTGAAACAAGCATTACGTAAGTTATATGATATGCCTCACAGCAGGTCAGCTGGGAATACTATCAAACTCCAAAATACATGCAGATTCATTAATATCTCTTCTTAAATATAAACTAATCTTGGTTGTAATTTGTAAATATACATGCATATGCATAATCATGAAATAATGACATGCAGAATCAACATACTTAGGTGTCTTCATATAGTTGTGCCATCTGTGTGCACCATTAGGACGGAGATGATCCTGAATCCTAGCAGCTGATTTCCCATTTCCATAAGTAAGAAAATAGTTTGGATTGCCGCGAGTTGCTTCTTTGTAATTTCCAAAATATACATCCTTTGGAAGGTGATCATAGTTCTTCTTGAACATTGAAACCTATGACAGCATTGTAAGTTAAATATGTCAATAAATATACTTGGTTTCAAGAAAGGAAAAAAAAGTCAGAACAACAATGAACATTGACAATAAAAATGCTACAACACATTGTAAAAATCTGGATCTTCAACAAAGGCATTTTACCTAATAGATACTTTTCTCTTATGAAAAAAAAAGCACTGAGAAACTGCAACAACCATATTACAAGTTTTTCAACAATATGGCTTTAGCAAACCAAATACCACCAATTCATAAGAAAGTGTGTGCAAAGTGTATACGGATTGTGTTTATATACTATGTATTAGCACAATGCACATACTGCTTAATAAACTATATCTAATTAGATGTTTGTTTCTGAATCTCATAATTCTATCAAGTTAGCTTCTGCTTCATCTCTCTTCAATAGACATTGAAGAAAGGTTCTTGTAATGAAGGAAGTATAAATACTAAATAATGCATCCAAATTAGCAAAAAATACTTCATTTCTGCACTGTAAACATTGTTTAAAGGTTCGCTGTAAAAATTATACTGAACCATTTTGAGTAAGAATGCCTATGCATGTCTGCATAAAATGTGTACAAATTTAGCTCACTTCTTGAAGAGATTGCTTTTAAACAAATGTTAGCAACTTATGTTCAGTGAATATTTTATTTTCCATACACAAAAATATGGTACAACACAGACAACAAACTGCTGACAACCAATAGAACCCAAACAAAGGAGTAACAAACTAAAATTATGATTATCTTCAAACAACATCAATTGAATTAGCTGTTCAAAGTCTAAGAAAAGCTATTTAAGCAAATACCTCACTGAAAGGCTCCTTGATGTCATCTCGCTCGACACTGCTCTCCTGAAACAAATAACATTCCAGCACTAAGTTAAAAATATCAATGAATATCAAAGAGGCCAAAAGAATAAAACTAACTCTCAAATGATAGTAACTTCAGGATCTAAATAAAACTCTTGCACTCACATAATTTGGAAAAATAACCATATCAATATTTCCAGGCACATCAGATAGCAACTGTCTTAAAGAGTACTCTTGAGTTCCTGCTGGATGTATCAGCTCATCAGTGTCCAGATGGATGATCCAATCCATTCCAGAATCCTGAGTATAAAAACATTGTAAAGACAAAATCAAGATCTTAAAATGATCAATTACATTGATGGAGATATGCTAGTAAAATAATCCAAAAAAAAAAAAAAACCACCTCCCGTTAAACCCGACTAGCGAGCGTGGGGTGGAGGAAATCCTTGTACACAGCCTTACCCTTGCATAATTGCAAAGAGGTTGTTTCCTGGATTCGAACCAATAAAAAGAAATAATAACTCATACCCTAGCCATGACAATAGCCATTTCCATGTTCAAAGATTGCTTCACAAACAACTCATAGTTACATGGTTTGTAGAAGAAGCTCGCCAACCAAGTCTCGTTCCATATTCGGCTGGTACATAAAAGAAAATAGAAAAAGTCAAACAAGGTGTGATTCATCCTATCAGAAAAGTTAGTAACATTATGGGTAGGTTACAAAATTTGCACATAATTTAAAATTCCAAAATCTCCATATGAATAGAAAATTTAAAAGATTATCAAAATCTACTGAACCCAATATCTTAAGCTATAAAGCAAGAACCCGAGAAAGAATTTTATACTTTAAGCCAACCCTTCATTGTAAATTCAACCCAAAACCTTAAGGTGTTAGGTGAGGACCTTTTTAATGGTTTATATTATTCTCTAACACCCCCTCACGCAAGAGCCCTTTTACGTTGTGGTTATTTTAATTTCACTAGAAAGTGAGGGGTGATAAGAATCGAACTCGTGACCTTGTGGTCACTGAAACTCTGATACCATGTTAAAAACCAATTCAACCCAAAACCTTAAGGTGTTGGGTAGGGCCTTTTTACTGATTTATATTATTCACTTTAAGGAAATGTTTGGTACATTATCTTAGATGCGCAAGTTACATTCCAATTTCTTATTTCATATAAAAGTTGGCAGTTACGAATATTTGACTCACACCATTGTGAGGCTGGTTTTGCGACTAGAACCCATGATGTCACAAAGTAGCAAATTTACCACTTCCCCAAGGGCCCAAGGCTCACCTCCATATATCATTTTTATTAATATGTATATTACAGTTAAATAAACTTTTTCATTCAAATTACAGGAAGTTTTCAAATTCATGTCCTATAAGTTTGTTTCAATCAAGAAGATTAAAGCCACTTTTACATTTGTAAACAGTTACCTGCCCAATAAAGACATTTTATTTAAAAGAGATAAAACTTTTAAAATGCAAAACACACATACCTTTTAGCTTGCTGCTCCTCTAATTCTCTTGTTCTATATATAACTCGTACACCCTGAACAAAAACATGTTATAATTGAGGATAAAAAAACTTAGGGTTAAAAAAAAATTAGATAACTGCTCAGAACTATCTTGACAGCTAAATAAACAATGATAAAGGAATCGATTGGACTCACCGGAATGCTTTCTAAAATTCTAGATACATTAGCCGATGCAGCCTTCCCTTCCACAAAAAGGAGGAAATTAGAGACTCCCATAACCTTATGATAGAAGATCCATGGCAGAGTCTGCTCTAAACCAGCAGAAGTGCTCGTTTGAATACATATCTGCCATATAACACACATAAGTTTTAAATTTCAACCAAAAAGATTCACAATTCACTACCATGATTCATGAATCAAAAAAATCATGAAGTTCAAAATTGAATCTCCCATGGTGGGTTTAACAATCGAGAAAGTGGGCAGATCCAAAGACTTAAACAGCAACGGTCAATTCAGAATTCCAAAATCAAAAATTAATAAATAAATAAATAAATATAAAACGCAAAGCAAAAAAAGCAAAACGACGATTTGCGAGGGGGCAAGAGAGGAAGTTGAGAAGAACCCATTAACATTAGAGAGGAAAGGAAAAAAGGGTTGGATCGAGATTTGGGAAAAGAGTGGTGTGTCTAACCTTAGGGGTGAGATCAGAAGCGTAGTCGAATTTCCAGTCACGAAAGTAAGGGAATGAAGGAGAGTTTGTATGTGCGATGAGATTGGTGCAATCGGAATGCGAATGGGGTTGTTGTTGTTGTTGTTGTTGTTGTTGTTGGTTGTTGTGAGAAGGAGGAGAAACAACCATGCCTGGGAACTGGTGGTGATCGGGTGACCAGCGGGTGACGGGGTCGGTGACGCCGCCACGCCATTGGAGGATGAAAGCGAAGGAAGCGAGGGTGAGGGGGAGAACGGTGAGGAGCAGAAGGAGCCGCGAAGAAGAAGAAGAAGAAGAAATGGGTCTGTGTGAATGTGAAGTGTAACCCGCCATGAGAAGAAGCTAAGGTGGGTTTGGGTGCATCTAACTTAGAGAATGAGAATGTGAGATTGTGAATGTTGTTGTTGTTGTTTGTTTATATATATTATTATTCGGTTAATGTTATGATGTGGGTCTTTGGGTCTTTCGTGTTGTTGAGGGAAGGTGTTTAATGAAAGAGAGAGAATGAGGACTCGGAAAGAAACACTGAAAACAAGTTGAGAATTTTAGAGAATAGAGAGAAGAGAACTGAAAGAAGCCGTTTTTTCGTTGAGATTTCAGTTCATAGATTTATAGTGTGAGTATTTTTTCAATTTTGAAAAATAATTAATATTTCTGAGGAAGAAGTAATCGCAAGCTGGAATAGCTCAGTTGGTTAGAGCGTGTGGCTGTTAACCACAAGGTCGGAGGTTCAACCCCTCCTTCTAGCGTTTTTTTTCTTCAATGTTTATTATTATTATTATTATTATTTAAATTTTGTTTTCAGACCTAAGCTTTTAATGGTATTATTCACTTTTGTTCTACATGGTTGGCTTAGAAGGGATTGAAGTAATTGTCATTAACTTTGCTCCTTTTTAAGTTTGAGATTTGTTTTGAAGATGTATAGATCTCAAATTACAAGTCTGCTCTGACCTATATTTAAAAAATAAAAGCCTTGTCCCTTGGCTTAGGCCTGTTAGCCTATTAAACATTCAACAATTAAAAGAATAACTAAAATAATATTATTTTATTATTTAAAATTAATAAAATAATAATTTTATTTAAAATAAATAATATGATATAAGTCGGCCTGTAGACTTATAGGCCCGACATGTATAAAAAAATCTTGACATGTTTTCTAAATAGGTTTTTTAAAAGCCTAGCCCTTCTATTTTACTATTTGTAATAGGTAAAGTCTGACTTAATATAAGCTAGTTCATAGGCCTCTGTAAGCCAACTTAGCCCATTTACACGTATTATAGCATCAAATGCGGTTGGTGTGCTGAAATTTTGAAAATGGCATATTTTCTAATTTTGTTTTTGGATATTATACACTCGCTGTACTGTTTGGATCTTTATTAAAAATTAAAGGAAAGACATTAAAATGGGAGATTGCCTTCTGTGATTTCAAGACATTAAAAGACAAAAATTGTCACTAAATCATGTATTTCTTCACATAGACCAGTTGGTGGGTAAGTTGTTCCAAAAGAAGAGTTTTGTTGTCATTATAATTCTATGCATTTCGAATTCATATTAGTCACCATGTAAAGAACAAATTCAACCCAAAAGCTTAAGCTGTTGGGTGAGGCTATATTAATGATTTTATATATCTCAACACGCCCCCTCACACGAAAGCCCATTGAACTTGAAGGGTGGACAATGCACAGGCCCACTTACCTGTGCGAAGAAATAAATTTCACGGTGAGGATCAAACCCGGGACACGAGGCTCTGATACCATGTAAAGAATTTTGGGATACACCACCCCAAAAGCTAGCTCAAAGGGTGGGAGTGCCCAAGACCTTATAAACTCCACATTAGTTGCACATACAACCAATGTGAGACTATATATCTCAACATCGTGTGAGGGAGCATGTTGAGATATATAGTCTCACATTGATTGTATGAGCAACTAATGTGAAGTTTATAAGGCTTTGGACACTCTCACCCTTTGAGCTAGCTTTTGAAGTGATGTATTTCAAGATTCTTTACACACCGTCTTTGACAATCAGATACTGGATAATTTATATATAAAATAAAGTTGCCCCGTGAATCATATAGGATGAATCGTTAATCTAAACTTTAGGTTGCAAGAATCCCCCATTTACTCAAGATAGCGAATTACCTATAACTAGGTACGACAACTACCATATACAATTGGCTTTGAATAAATAATTGAAGATGTCCTATCAAAAAAGGCACTTATAAAATTTGACAACAAAACTTAAACTGTGTCTTCAGAGGAATTAAAAGATAAAAAGCACGTCCCTCTTTGTGAGGCCAAATTTTCCGTCTCTAGCACAAGGTACATCCCACATGGGTGGATTTTCTAGGAGATTCGAAGAGAGATAAAATGAATGCATCAAACTTTGTTGAAAGATTTATAAGCAAATCTTTTTATCCACCTTTTTAAGATGCTTTTGTAGCAAAAAAAAAAATTTTAATTCAACCTTTCCCTTACCACTTCTAATAAAGTAACAATTTAATTTGTTATCAAAAAAAAAAAAAAAAAAAAAAAAGTAACAATTTAATTACAACAATTACGATTTCGAAGAATTTTAATTTGCAATAATTTTCTAAGATTTTTTTCGTCTTATTTCGATTGGTTATATCTGTGGGTAAGATGCTGCCGGCTACATGGCAACGCTATGTGCTGAAGATGGTGATAAATTCAAAGATGAGATTGGGTGTATTTTTTCTTCTTTTTTTAATAACTATGTTGATGAAAAATATAAAACTTTCCTATGCTGAGTCATTGATTCAGTCAGAGAGTCATTAGTTCAATTGATTTAAATTAAAAATAAATAAATAAATAAATAAATAAATAAATATTTTATCATAAAAATATATTAAAGCTTAAATAAATATATACATTTGTAACTACCAACACAATTTAATAAGTTCAAAATATTGTTTACCAAAAAACAAAAGTTCAAAATATTAATAAACAACCCTAAATTCCAAATCACGAGTTTAAAACACTATTTAATAATCAAGTTCCACAACAAAAAGCTCCCAAATCACAACAAATAATAATAATAATAATAATACAATTGAATTTGATAAAATAAAGTTGTGTCAAATGTAGGTCTTCTCTTTTTTGTAAAACTTAACGATGAAATGATGTCATTTTATATTTAAAAAAAAAATGTGCATGACGTGGTGTTTAATCACCCGGTCAAGATGTTGATTTTAACAAGATGAAAGATCAGTTGAGTCAAAGTAAATTGCGTAAGTTTACGTGCATTTCTTTTTTTATATAAGAAAAATATAATATGATTACGTGAAAAGATTATAATTATTAAAAAAAATTACGTGGATAACCAATTTGAATAACTCTTCAAAATTAAAACTGCTTACTTTGCCAATCGGAAATAACACTGTTTGTAGGTACTTGGTTTTTTTTTTTTAAGAAAAATTTCAAGTCGGTTAGGATTGGAAGGATGATAAAATTTTGTTTACCAAATTTTTAATATAGTTGCAACTCAAAATTCGAGATAATTAATTAAACTGAAATGATCACTTAATAGAAATCAAATTGACAACGTTATAATAAGATATCACTATAATCATAATTATTAAAATCGGACCGGCCGGGTCGATCCGAGAATCGATAAATTGGTATGATTCAAGCAACGGATCGGTTATGCATCAGAACCGGTGCGACCCGACCGATTTTCATGAAAATCGGTAACCCGGTCGGTTAACCGGTGACCGGCCTGGTCCTAAAAAAAAATTCAATTCTTTTTCAAAAAAAAAATCATAATAGATATATTTGAATAATTTTTTGCATATTGACTTACATAAGTTATGTACATACAAAACTGATATTATCTCAATTATGCATTATGCATAGAATTTTGATTTGATTTATAGTTAGAGATGTCATTTTCTGAATTTAAAGCCTCGTATCACGATCATTATATTTTTATTTGATCCTTTATGGGATAATAGTATGTGATTTATTATTTTTTATATTAAAATATTTGAATTTTTTATTATTTTTTAGATATTTAAGTATGTTTATAATTTTTTAATATAAATTATAAAATTACATATAATTACCTGGTCATGCGGTTGAATCAGTGACTCACTGGTTGAATCAGTGATCCACTGACCCAATACATTGACCTGGTCAATGACCTAGCCGATTTTAATAACGTTGAGTATAATCACTATTTCGAAAATACTTATAAACATAAAGATTAATTAAAAATATAAAACTTTTATAAAATAAATAAAATACTAATATAAACTAAAATTTTAATGACAAGAGGAGGCAACCAACGGAAAGTAAGAATTTTCTCTTGGCATTCGTGTCAACATGGGCTATGGTTGGAGTTCAATTCCAATGAGAGGTGTACTACAAAATTCTTGAAAAGGTAATTTAAATTGAAGAAGACTTGTGGTTGTTCACACAATATCATAATTATTCGATTAGTTCAATCTAATTGATAAGAATATAAATAAGGTAAAAAACAATAATTTTTCAACACAATTATATATCAAAATTTGAATTCAAAATCACTAATTAAACTGAGATAATTTCTTACCAATTGATTAATATGTTTGATGATACAATAATTTATTTAACGCATTAATGTATGCAGTACCTTTCTGGTAAAGCAGGATGAGAAAAGAGATCAAAAGAGAATGGAAGATAAGATGAAAAAAAGGTTAAATCATTCTTCATTTTCAAAAGGAAGTTATGGGTACTAATAGTCATTAACCAAATTAATGCAGCCACCGGGGGTTTAATGACTTTTTTCTTCAACCCTTTTTAACCAAAGCTAGATAGACGTTTAAAAAGTCATACATAATTAATGGGGAAATGGAGAAAGCAAGGATAATTATAGAACCACTAATCCAACTCATCCAAAGACTTTTCTTTTTCTGGAATAAGATGGTATAGATTAAGAGATGATGTGTTGGAGATCTACATATGCTAAAGCACACACTGAGACACATAGCAAAAGAGAAAACAGAGATAAAGTTAAAAGCAACATTTGTTGTTACTTACCTAACCCAGATGGGAGTGTTTGAATTAATTCATGGGAAATAATTGTCTCATTTTACGTGAGATAACTATCTCATGTTTCTCTCGCATAAAAAGTTATGACATCATTTTTATTTTATTTTTAATGGATGGTGGGCTCCACCATATTATGTATCTATAGTAGGAGATACTTATCTCCTACAACATGAGAAAAATAGAACCATTAATTTATTTTAGACAAAAAAATTATTATTTTTGTAACTTTAAAAGTAAAATAAATAATTACTTCTCCTAATTTAAACCTTTTCCAATTATGCGTGGGTACTGTTGTTGTATGAATCCTGCGAGTGGGTAATCCTTTACACAGCCCCACTCACTTTTTTGAAGCATAATCTAATTTAATATATTGGTTTAATGTTTCTAAAGTGGATGTAGATAAGTTATTTATATTCATTCTCAAAACGACGTCGTTTTAGGTCAAAAAATTAAAAAATTATAATAAAAAAACTATTATAATCCTGAA